CAGGACTGGACAGCCCTGCTGCAGACACACTGACTGACCCTCCAGGACCAGGACTGGACAGCCCTGCTGCAGACAAGCTGACTGGACTCTCCAGGACCAGGAGCGGACGACCTTCCTCAAGAGGAAGACAAGAAGCCCATGGGGTACAATTTAGAGCAGGTCAGTCAAACCCAACGTCCTTGGGAGAGGGGAGCAAACCTGCGTGAACCAAGGGGGAACATGCAGACTCCCCACAGACAGCCTCCAGAATGACTCCAGACGCCACGACGGCGGCGGCCCTCGTTTCGTCCGGTCCGGGCGGCTCCTCGCTGCCGGTCAGGGTATCCGGGGGGCCGACCTGTCGTTGGTGGCCGTCGGGCGCAGCTTCACGGTGGCGAAGGGGTTGGTGCCCCTGTGGGGGAGAGCAGAGGAGCCCTTGTGGGTCACAGGTCCCTGCGATTCCACCTCCGCGCCGGCCGCCGCCGCCAAAGTCCCAGGTCCGATACCGGGGCGGCCAAGAATCCGGGGAGCGGCCAGCTCCGTCAGGGAAAGTCATCCTCGCTCTCTCGCCCCCCCCCCCGGGATCACGGGATCTACGAGCCACTTGAACTGGGACTGGGAACAGGAGGATATTGGAAACGACCCAGCAGTTGTGTCTGTGCTTGTTCAGTGGGTGTTTGTATTGAGTCCCCACACGCTGTAGTTTGTATTTGGAACTGTGTATTACTGTGCTCCTGTCTCGGAGCGTGAGGCACTGTAACTAGGGGCCGCAGTGCAGGGACTAGGGAGATACGTGAAAACAGGGTGAACAGAGAGCTCTGCTGTTCGAGGGGGACCCCTGACCCTCTTATAAGAGGGGGGTAGTCCTGTCCGCGATCAGAGCTGGGGACCCCTGACCCTGTTATAAGAGGGGGAGTCCTGTCTCTTACCTGGGAAAGAGTTCTGGACGAGGCCCCTGGTCCTTCGATCTCTGTGGAACAAAAGACACACATGGGGACTGAATGACAGTATCTCCCTCCATCGACACAGACACAGACCCCCGGGACGCCCCCCGACAACCGAGGGGTCTCCCTCCATCGACACAGACCCCCGGGACGCCCTCCCGACAAACGAGGGGTCTCCCTCCAGCACACACTCAGACAGACCCCCGGGATGCCCCCCGAAAACCGAGGGGTCCATTTTTCACTGAACCTCAAGATCAAGATCCTCGCCGGGCCTCGTGCGCGGGAGACGGACTGCTACCGGACACGGATCGCGCCGGGTTTGGAAAGACGGGGGACTGGGGCCGATGGAGACCCCGACTCGCAGGTGCACAGCTGAGGCAGAGCGAAAGGCGCCTTCGCCTCTTACCGAGACTCATTCTCAGGTCGATGGGGGCCTGAGTCAAGCACAGGCGTTTCCAAAGCTGCCCGGCCGGACAGGAGCCAGAGGACACAAGCGGAGACGGTGCGGAAGTCTTTACACACAGGGTGGTGGGAGTGGGGAACAAGCTGCGCAGCCATGTCGTTGTGAACCTCAGACCACTTAGCTATTGACCGCTGAGCATGCGAGGCAGGAAGAACGGCCGATAGTGACCGCTGACTTATCTAACTCATCCAACCCACGCAGAGGCGCCACCAGCTGAGAGAAGCGACAGAGAGGCTTTAAAACGACTGAGCACACTTTTCGAGGACAGGCAGGTGAAATAAGAGGAGAGAAACAATCCCGCAGGGCAGCAATTCACCGCAAAAACACACGGACCCTGCCCCTCCGCGACCGCTGAGGTCAGAGGTCGCCCAGCCCTCGTGCCGACAATGCAAGAGTGGCAAAGAAGAGTGAAGCTGACGTCCTGCCCCACCACCGATGCACAGTTCTCCCCAAACGAGTGGCAGTTTATGCAACAGCCTGGAAGTGGAACCCGAAGCGCGGGGCTTCGGAAGTGGACCGGGGAGCCCCTGGGCGTGGTGCACCAGCGCGGGCCAGCTCTCAGTCAGGACGGCCCCTCACACACAGGGCGTGCAGGTTCCCAGTGAGCCCCAGCGCTGACCCCCTCCACTGCTGCGTGAGCGAGGGGCTGGAGTGAGAGCGCAGTGTCGCCCTGGACTGGGACCCCCGCGGGACGAGATCCTGGTGAGGTCAGGTAGCTATGAACTAGCAAACGGGCTAC